TATGTCTGAAATGGAATATCGATGTATCACCGGTATGGTTCCATAGCTCTGAAAACCACTTGGGGTATGAAGGGATAAGTGAGCTGAATGGTGGAACGGGGCAAATGATTGATCTTTTTCCACATACCTGTTGATTCATTCTGTGGTGTCTCTGTGAGGGTTTGTTTCCGCTCAGCGTGAATAGGAATTTTTTGTTACATGGAAAATCCATAGGAGTAACACATATTTGTATATTAAATGTCAGCTTTTGAACTGGACAGTATAAGAACCACCTTATTAAACTCAAAACGAACAGAAATCAGTGTTATTTCTGAAATGATTGTGAGTATTGTATTGGCTCTTGATAATTTTATAAATGTATCAAGTCATCTACTATAGTATTAGTTCAATACATGCAGACCACTGTTTACATTGAAGATTTCACCAGTAAGGGTTTTCAGACATTGCATCTAATGTTCAGGAAAAAACTTATTTATGTTTGTCTTGCATGAGACTTTAAACTATTAATCAAACTTTTTTGCTACTGAACAGGAGGGGGGGAAAAATTCCTAGTCTGTAATGTCTCATTTGTCTGAAGGTCTAGAATGGACAGCTAGTTGTAGTTGTTCTCCTGTTTTCTCCCTATAGTGCCATTAGGCAGTAGTGCAACTAAAAATACTGAGTTTACACTATTTTCAGTGAAGTGTTACTTCCCAAAAAAGGTTTAAAAAAACAGAGAAAGTGATTGGGATCAAAACTGGCCCCTCTGACAGTGAGCTGGCTCAGTTGTAGGAAGGCTTTCTACTCATGAGCAAGTGTTTTTCAGTTGTACTAAATCTTCCTTGGAAAAAATAACTTCATTTACAGAGATGCAAATGTATAGTTGCAGTATAGTTTTTTCTTTTAAATTAAGGTTAAAAGGCAAAAAAAAGTGCAACATTCAGATACTCTCCGCCACTTTAGATAGTTTAAAACCATAGATGCCTAACAAATAACTGAGTTCCTTTGGACTTGAAAATATGTGTGCAAGTGTGATTTTTAACGTGTGCGGTGTATATATTAGATGGAGTCCAGAAAAGGGGCAAGGAAGCACTTCTTCCTGAAATGGTTTTACTTTGTCTCCCAGATATAATCAAATTAGGGGTAAGTCTATAAACATACACAACTTTACAAGTTGTGTTTTAATTAATGGTTGTGTAAATAAGCTAATTGAGTTTTAGTTTAGCTGTTTGGTCTGTTTGGAAGGTTCTTGTATTGCCTGTCCTCTTGAGGATACAGTGCTCTGCTCTTGTTTAGTGCTTTAGTTGTTTGTTTAGAGGAAAATTGGTTTCAGGCCTGGGCTGTTCTGCTTCATTCAAATTCTAACTTGTTTTGCATGTTTAAGATGTGTATATAAGCTGATCAGTGCTGTAACTATTAATTGCTTGGAAATATCAGCAACTTCATGTGTGCAGGCAGGTGCTGAAAATGGTGACCTGTTCGACTTAAGTAGTAAAGAAAGTTATATCCAACTATTCTTAGTCTGAGTAGGTTTTTTTTATGAACTGTACACAATGTAGCCTGTTTGTATTCTATTCTGATATGAGCCCTGTTATAGAAATGAACTCTTCTTGATGTGATGGTTCTTTGCTAGCCTTGATCAATGATTTTTCTTCATGTTGGTGCTCTTAATGCAGTACAATTGCCCTCTCTTTTTGGAGACAATTACAGGTACCGTGTGTTCATCCACTCTGTCTTCCATTTTCTCATGTAATCTTGCAACTGTTTAGACTGTGTTTTGCGTGTCGATAAAGCTTCACTTTTCAAGTCATCTCTCTGATATCTCTTAGACCAGTGACTACATAACCTCAAGGTACAGGTTTGTTCCCTTTGGCTATACCTGAGCCCATTGACTTCAGCTGCTGTAATGTTACTTCAGCTTTTTGCCTACTTGGTCACCTTGAGGTTGCTGATGGTGAAGCACTGGTAAAGCTGTGAAATTGGCTAGTGACAGCCTGGAGCTAAAACAAGCAGTATTAAGCTGCAGAGTTGTCTGTTTTCTGAATAAATCTGATACTTAGTCATTTAAGGTTCCCTATACTTGACCCAGATATATTTAATTGTGTTAATATGAAGAAAACTCCTTTTACTTACCTTCTTTACCTTCTTTAGGCTTCTTTACACAACATAAAAAGGAATTACTTGCTTTCCAGAAGTCTTGCTATCTTTTCCAAAATAATCCCAGAGGTTGGTAGAGGGTTGATTCTTTGTTTAGAAAGAAGATGACTGAGGGAGGAGAATGGATTGGAGGTCTTGAGCTTTACAGAGTAAACTTTAAGTTGGGGGGAAAACAACTTCTTAGTTAAGAAATGCTGCTAGTGAATCATGAATCAAGCAGTAAAAGTCCCGAGATCCTGCTGGGGAGAGACCTGAGCAAAATCTAGGTGCCTCTTGTCTCCCATCGGATCAGTGTGGTGAATTACTCAGATAAATATCTATTCCTGTCTTCCAGCAGCTGCTGAATGTAGCAGTAGTCCGCCTTTTGAGATTGGACCAAATTTCCACATTAAGCACTGAGAATATCAGAAGGTATGTAGGGCACTGTAACAATGTTTGTCATGATTGGTACGTGAGTAATGACTGAAGGAAACAATTGGCCATTCTGAAAGAAATATTGAAGGACATGATGGTCTTACTAAGTGAAGGATCATTACGAAGAACAGAAATTTACTTGCTCTCCTTTGGCTAAGACACAAAAAAATAGCAAACAAAACCCCAAAACTGAACCAAACAAAAAAACTTATTTGTGGAAATGAGTTTTGTGTTAGGTATTACAAAAGTTTGCTAATAGAAGAACAGAGAAGATACTAGGCTGCCTCGGAAAATTATTTGCGGTCCAAGCTGCTTTTGAATAGTATCTCCAAACATTGTTCAGGCGGTACGGTATGGGTGATTCTACTTCAATGAAATGTCTGGGTGAGCTCTGGCAGAAGTTCCTTTCTGCTATATTTTTCTAGCTTACTTCCAAGAGCACAGTAAGTGTGCTGATTTATATGCCAGTAGTGCTGGTTTTCTAACAACAGAATCTACCAATAAACGTTACTTCCTCTATATGTGCATGTTAACCATACGTTGTTAAGTATAGATAAGCTGCACATAGCTCATTTTTCTTCAGGTGTGTACAATGAGCAAGACTTCCGTCTGGTTATTATTTCTTAAAGCTAGATGATTTCAGCCTAGCTGGTTATGAAGCATTTGTGTACTTGAATATGGTTTTGGTTGCCACTAATATGTAAAGCATATACTAAGTAAGCCACAACTATGGCCTCCTTACAATATCAGGAATACTAATATTGACCAACTGTTTCAGAAGTAATACTGTTGACAAGATAGAAAATACCTTAGAAAGCTTCTCAATCTAGAAGTTAGGTGTCTTCACTCTCTAACCCATATATATTCTAATGGACAGGAGGTCTGCGGTTTGTACATCGTTTATGTACTTGTAACTTTATTGATGTGCATTTGTTCCCTCAAATTGAGGGCACTTCTGTCAGGCCAAAGCATAGTCACACTGTTGGGAATGTTGGTGTTTGCTATGTGTGTTCAGGCTCCGTGCATTAGATCGTAAAGCTGTCACAGAGCCCCAGTACATAACAGTGTTGTTAGGGAGTGTTAAGAGGTATGGGTAGGGCAGAGAGCAATGACCATCTGCTACCTGAGAACCTCTGGTTTTATTACGGAGTTTCTGGGAGACCTGACTGAAGAGTTAGTGATAGAGACACCTCTCAAAACGCTTTGATCGCTAGATTGCTGTCGGCTTTAAGGCTTTTTTGTTACTGTAATAGCTATGTGATGCTAATGAGTTTTGAAACTTAGTGTTAAGCAGTCTGTAAAACTATACTGATCTTGGTGGTGGGACTGTTCTTTGGGAACTAACAAAGGGCAAATAACTGCAGAATAAAGTGACTTTCTAAGACTGCTTTTATAAGTAGGAGAGGGAATTGGGTAGCAGGACCCAGCCAGATGGTAAGTTGGGTTTTTTCCCTATTCTAGCATAGCCAATGTTCCAAAGGACTGAAGGGCATAATGAATCAAGCAATGGACTCCTATTTGAGTTGCAGAAGAACTTATTGCTGTGTATGGCTATGTTTTTATTAGCAAACCATGCTGAACAGTAGGAGCAGACCTACAGTTGACACTGAGTTTTTAGGATGTTCATGCAATACATGTTTGGGGGGATTTTGCTTACTATTAGCTCTTGTCCTGTGAATAGAATGCTAATTAGTTCCTGATGTACATCTAGCTATCAGGCCTTGCTAGACCTCTGAAATAATATTTTGGAGATACATACATACTTTGAAAAACAGGTTTTAGGCCTCACAGAAAAAGTTGATAGTAAAATGTGTAGGCAGTGTGGACTTTCAGTTGGAAAAATCGGTCAGCAAAACAAGCATTTGTAGACAAGTTGTAAATAATGAGTTTCATTTCACTGAAAAGCACTTTCTTTTGTTCTGGGTAGTCTCATTAGAAGTTTTTAATTTTTCAGTAGGAAGTACTTTGATTAATTTTATCAAATTAAGAAACAGAAACATGGACTCCCTTCTAGTCTCAGTACTGTACAATTAAATTCATTTTCAGTTAAATACTTTTGTGCAGTATCAGACTCGGCATTTATCCATATGATGCTTGTGAAAACTTTATACTGTATAACTGATTTTGGATTTTACTTTGGTTTTAGCCTGTGGCTTATCTAAAGTCAATGTCATGTTAAAATAAAAAAGCTTTTTAATCTTTCTCAAACATGCTTATGCTTAAATAAAAAAAAGTCAAAATTAATATGTGTAAATAACACTTCCTAAATTGACAATAGCATCTTTTTTCCACCAGAGATTAGCTTGTAAGAAGTATTCTAAATGGTAGTCAGTTAAGACACTTCACAAGGCAGAGTGTATTTTGTGATGAGTAGCATTTTTGTTATAAACCAAACCTGTTCTGCAGCACTGAATTTTGACTTGTTTCCACTGCAACTCTTCTTTTTTCAGAAAGAACATTTTGCTTTGCAAAACCAGTACAGAGAGAAAGATGCTGGAAACTTGCAGCACATGGTAAATAATAAGATGGCTTGAATTCCTGATTGAAGCTTTGATTTCATCTTGTTCCTTGAAATAAGCTTATAAGGATGTTTTTCATGAAGAGCAAAGTATTTGTCCATCCTAGTCTAACTGTTGGATGTGTGGGTTTTCTATCCATGAAGTGGAAAGAGTCAATATCGTTTTAATATCCTGTATTTCCTAGGTAGTTTTGCTGACTAATTTAAATACATAAACACTAGAGCTTTGATGTTCTAGTTGAATAAAATAACAAAGCACAGGAGTACTGACATACTTCTTCATAGTTTGTTTTGCGTTTTAGAAATATTCAGCCTTAAAATCTAACTTCCTTTGAAACAAAAGTTTGAGGTTAACACTGAGTAGTTACTAACACTTCTGTCATATGTCTGTTAGTGATTAGAATTTTTAACTTCATGTTTCTTGATTCATAGGACTGTTTTAGAGATCATGCACTTTTTATTTTGCTTAAAGCTTTAACAAGAATAGGAATTGCAGGTTCTGTACATGAACTATGAAACTGATTACTACTTGTGTGCATTTAGAAAGCTGTGAATGGAAGGCAACTTACTTGCGAGGCTGAAGAGCCACAGGAACAAGAAGGTCTTCAGCATATGTATCCTGTTTATCAGCAAACATACTACAAAAATTGGAGCAGCAGATACCCGCAAAACTCAGGACCTGGAAGAGTCTACATCAATCCAAGGGAGCATTATGTATGATTCTGTACCCAGATGTCTTAACTTTTAAGATATGAGGGTTTTAATATCTGTTGACTGTATGACCAATATGTCTCACTGGCTTTCATCTCTAAAATAATCGGTCTTTTTTCCTGTGGGAAGAAATTGCATGGAGAATTTTATATAGGTAAACCCTATGGAATTTGAGACTTAACTTTCTTCTAGTCTTTGGTATGTATTTGTTCTTGTAGTTATATCAACCTGCCAAAAGAGGAGAGCTATTTAGCTTTACTAACCTTCGTAGCTGTAAGATGTATAAATTAGATGAATTGGTTGGCATATGCCAAAATGTACTTAAGCTGTTTCCCTGGTTACTTCTGGGAGCATTCCCTCCCTGAATGGCTATTTTACAATAACCTTACCTATGTAGAAGTGAGTAAGTATGAGCGAAACAACTGAATCCCTGGTGACATAAGCTGAGTCTCAGGCTGAGAGTCATTTTTTTGCATCTTGAAAACTTGGGATAATTATTTTGACTGGCCTTAGCTATTGATTTCTCAACTAGGTCTACCTCTCTCAGTCAAATGAGCAACTAGACTACCTCTCAAATACCAACTTGCTGTTTCATAATGTGTTGTGTGTCTTCCCACCTTGTTAAAAGTGAAGCAGTTTCCTTACATCGGAAACTTTTTGTTTTGTATTGATCCTGGCTGTCAGTTGCTGTACTTGCTGGTTGTAGTTTCACAATAGGTCTGTGTGAAACTTAGTTGCAGGAAGTAGGTGACTAGACAGACAAAGCTTCCTGAAAGTGTCTTTATGTGTAGCTGCATCTTACCTACAAATTGCTATTTAGCCATTTTTCCAAGTATGACTCCCATGTTAAGTGTTGCAGAGTTTGTGTTGCTTGGTAATAAATACATTTCATGTTCTTTGGTTTCTTCTCAGTTCGCAAGAAAGCTGCCTATGTTGTTCTTACGTCTTAGCAAGAAAAGGAAAGCTTCAGGAGACTTCAAGTAGTTTTCAGCACTGTCCTTTAATCTTAACCGGTAGTGTGAAGTAATTGGAGAATGCCCTGATGTTACCCGTACTAACAGGATTCCACATGAAAATTTGAATGTGGGGCAATGTTTGAAAAATATGCTCAGGATCTTTTTAGAAAAATAAGTTTTCCTTTGGAGTAAAAAAAAAAAGGCAAATAAAAAAAAAAATTATATAATGTATTAGTGCTGAAATGAGCTCACAGGACAATCTTGAAATATTTTAAGACAGCAGGAAGTAAGACACTAAAATTTGCTGGAGAAACTCAAACAACTTATGTCCGTTCTGTACACATAAGTACAGAATAATGATTTTTCAGTCAGATGACCTTAAGACAAAATGTTGAGAAGAATGGCTGTGTTATACTGAACTAGCTTTTGATACAGACTCAGACATTACTTCTGTGATATTAGTGTTGTCTCTGCAGATGATTGGATTTTTTAGAGGGAAGAGTCATAGTTGTAGAAGCAATAGAATTGAAAGCTAGTATAGTTAAGTGTGCTGCAGGCAGGATGCCGTTATAAAACCTGTATTCAACCTGCGTTCATCTCCGTCATAGTAAAAGTTAGAGTTCCCTATCCACAATAGGGATAGGCAAATATTTCTAGTTTGTTGCAGGTAGCAGCTAGAAGATTATGGCTTAGGTGCCCATGTTCTGGACACTGTACAAACAGATATTAACTGTTCTCTTGCTGAGCAACTTTCTGTTACACAATGTGGATCAAGTTGACAGCTGAAGGAATGGCAAAGAAAGGTTGGAGAGAACCTGTTTCTCGGGAGCTTTCTTTGAACCACTGTCAACTTGCTTTTCTGTTAGGGACTGAGCACATTCATGTAAACTGAGCAATTGTTTAAAACTTTAAAGCTTCCTGCTGTATTTGAGACCTAAAAGTAGGGCTTGTGTGCCCCAAAAATACGTTTTCCAATAATGTCAGTTTAAGTAGCTACCTCTTTCAACAAGCATTGCCTCACCTATCCTTACATTACTGCAGCTCCAAAAAACATCTACTGCCAGAACACGAAAAGTGTCTTGACCAAATGTTAAAGCAAATAGAATGACAGAACATTGAGATAAACTATATTGCTTGAGATAATTTGATCAATATCACTAAGAACTTCATACAAAAAATATTTAGATATACATTATACGGTGGTTCAAAACAGTGTTATTGCGATAATGCTTCCATTACATTCACTAGTACAATGCGATACTGAGCAGGTGATCATTTTGGTTCCTATTATGTTGGCAGATGATGTAAAAAACAATTATTTTGGGTTCAGACCTCTTCTACTGCTTTTTATTCTTATTTGCAGATACATTTTTGTTTGAAGAGTTGAAACTTTGGGGGAAGGAGGGAGGAAGGAAGAATGCTAACAACAAAGCTATAATCGCTTTTTTGAATTTGTAAAAATAGCTTAAAAAAGAAAAATGTAGTCCAACTGTGTTGCCCAAGTTTATGTATTAACAAACTAGAGAAAGCTTGAATTGCAACCTACGCATCAGCATGTAGTTTGCCCTAAAGTCATTAGGGAAATATATTATCATGTTTATTACCTGTGGTTTCTTTGTAATCTGTTCAGGGACATTTAGTGTGTTAGGTTTTTTGAAATGTTGCTTGCAGCCTTAAGTGTGTCTGGATTTTGGGGGCGGGGATTTGACATAGAATGCTCTGAAGAGAACAGAAAAATGTCTGCTGATTAGGATTTCCCACAGAAAGGATTGCACATATAGAAGTAAGTTTGATCTGCTTTTTTAAGATGTAGAAAATGTCTTTTTTTTATTTTTGTACGCTTTCAAATGTTTGTATTTGTATTTTGATTTGAATAAAAACATTCAAAATAGAAACTTTTCATGTGTTGTTTAGATTTAAGATTGCTTAAGGTATGGAAAACGCATCCACTTTCTTGGTGATAATGTTTCTTCCTCTCTGGTTGTATAAGCAGAGCATGTGGGTTTTTCCCAACAGTGCCACTTCTGAATATCTGTGGTGTTGGCTGCTGAAATGAGATATCCTTTCAACATTTGTTTTATTTAACAGGGGGCATATAGTACTTTGTGGAAATCCAGCACTTAGGTAAACTGAACACCCAGAATCACTGTTGAGGGAGGTAGGAATGGAGGGGAAGGGTAGTAATTCACATCTCTAGCTTTGATAAATGTAAATTGCCCTCTGCCCAAGTATCTTTAAATCCTACAAGCTAGTCTAATTATAGAAAATACAGGATTTAATGTTTGTCGTACATCCAAAATGTTTGTGGATGTAATACAAAGGAAAACTAAGAAAATGTACTAACTAAAAGAAGGGAAACACTTAACGAGATTATTAAAGGACCACTGCTGTTAGGTCACAAAATGATCTAACGTATTGGGTACCCAGCTCAAGGAAAGCCCAATAAAAAGGTGTGATAATTCATGAAGAGTGGAGCGAAAGTTTTCACCTTCGGAGTTCTTTAGCTGCTTTCTGGCAGTGTTACTGCTATTTCCTTCTCTGAGCGATACAAATTCGTGTGCAGAATGCTGTATTGTTGTATAGATACGTGCTTAAAATACATAGTAACTTCTTTGATGCCACAGACCTGAAGTTACTCTATCTGAACCACTGTGGTGTTTGTAGGCTCCGCATGTGAGTGCGGTAGTAACAGAGCAGATGAAATTGTTTTGACAACTTAGGTCACTTCAGAGATTACTGACTGGGAGAGCTGAAGTTCCAGGCAAAAAACCCCAAAATGGCCTTGGTAGTTCCTAACTGCTCAGTTGCCTAGTGGGAGGTGGCCTGGGGTTTTTTGTCCACTGGTGGTACATGTCCAGGGTATTGGAAGACCGGGTTTGGCTTTTGGAAACGTGTTTCTTTCCAATAGCAAAGCTAATGCTTCACTGCTGCTTACACATGTAACCTATCTTACCAATATCATCAAAATCTTAAGTTTGAAATTACACAAGCTAGCCTGCATTTTCAGTGGCGTTTCAAAGCCATGTTACCTGGTTTTATGCAACTGGTGGTGTAGATCTCTGGAATACTAGGGAAATGTAGAACCACCTGCTTAGTGTGGAAGGATGTAAATGACCTGGCCAGTTGTTATGAAGGTGGTTAAAGATAGTTATGTTCTAATGAAGTGCTAAAAAGATACGTAAAAGTTATGGTAAACTGTTAAGGTGGTGACAGCTAGTAAAAAGCAAAAGCTGAAGAGTGGTTGAATCTCAGCAGGATAACACATAATAAAATTTTTGGTTTATTCCCCTGTGGAGGTAGATGGCTTAAACTCAGTGGCATTAAAACCTACCACCTTTTTTTTTCTTTCTTTTTTTGTCTTGCTGAGATAATCTATTTCGAAAATATTCGTAAGCAGTGAAAAATTGCTGGGCAGGAATGAGTGACTTCGCTAAGAAACCAGGCCGTGAAAGGACCTAATTGTGGAAAGTGCTTTCTGTAAGAACTTCGGCACTTGAAGTTTAGGCAATTTTTAGGTTATTGCTGTTCAGCGCTCTGCTTCTAGTATCGCCAGCTGCTTTGAAAAATAGAGGCCTATGATTTGATCCTTAGCCAAAAACTGGACTTGTAAAGGAGCCTACCTGTCAAAGTACTGGTTCAAAGTTCTAATACACCTCACAGTTCCTTTCTGACAGAAAGTAAAGATTTGATGTTTCTGTATTTATTGAAAAGCATGGCATTGTTCTTGATAATCATCTTAATACCTTTAGCTGAATGATACTGAATGAAAATGCACAAAAAATAGATTGTGAATCTTAGTAATAATTATTCAAACAATGTGAAACCTAAGTAGAGATGTGTTAGGCATTTTAATCTGCACTGACAACCCCTCAATACGGCTTTTCCTAGTCATCTTTTGTGATCTTACTTGAGTTGATTTTATGCTGTATCTAAATCTAGATCCTTCAGTTGCCAGCAGAAAATAAATTCTACTTAGGAGCCTACAAGTCAAGCTGTGATTCTTCTACCCTTTGTGTGACTAGTAATCAAGACTGTACAATTGGAATTTAGCTCACTATTTTGAGACCAAGTTGGAGACAAAGTAGGCTCCAGCTTGCTCACCAGCTTAGATGAATTTGAATTTATTGTGCAGGACTGCACACAGAATGCATAAAGTATGCTAAATATATTAAAAAGTCACTTAACTTGACCGAGTTTAGCCACAGATTTACTATATTCCAACTTGAAATGTACTCTTCCACTGGGATGAATTAGACTTATAATCTAGCACAGATTTACAGGAAATAACTTTTTTAATTCTGATTGCCAGAGTAAGAAATTTAAATATTTGCCATTGCACTGCACCTGAATTTGTTCCTGTTCTAGTAAAATCTTACTATAGTGGGTTCTGAGTTTTTATGATGCTTTTGACAGTATATCAGATACCCTTCCTGCTCTTAATGTAACTTGATAATTTAGATGTCTTTAGCTAAATCCTTGTCTGCCACTTTTGCCTCTGGTTCCAGTCCAGTGCCATATAACTTCGGTCTAAATGCTGGAAAGTAACTTCATTTTTGCATCGATGTGAAATAATAATCTGGCTGTATCACTTAAGGCTTGTAAGCAAAGTGTTAAGAGATACTATAAAGAATTCAACTGTCTTTTTTTTCACTTGTCCTTTTTCCGTTGTTCAATTTCATTTGTTTATTACTGTCTCGGATCCCTGAAATCTTGCTCCTAGTGGTCTTGCTGCATTAGGTCTTGTCTCTAGCTATGGTGTGTCTGCAGTTTTGATCTTCCTGACGCCTCATCGTGCCTGGCCTATTAAGAAGTTTCTTATAGTTCTCCGTAGGACTTGAGATATTCTGTGCTTGAACAGCTCCTTAGTTGACAGCAAAATATTTGGGGGCCAGTGTTTGGTTTTTTACACAATTCGGCTCATAACAAACTTCAGAAAGTGAAGTTTTTCTTGCTGATTTATGGCTACATGCAGTATTAGGTCATGTGCAGTACAGCAGTGTACCAACAAAAGGTGCTTCAGTCCTACCGGTTGCCTGCTGGCTTGTCAGGGGAGAGACTGACACCTATTAAAAGATTAAGTGTGCTCTCTCCTGTCACCGTAGTATATTGTACTCATAAGGAGTCCACAGATCTACATAACTTTTCTGAACTGCTGTAGTAATTTTGGAATTATTACTTTTGGGTACTATTTGTGACAAAAGCTGAACTCCTTGTCAAGTATGGTAGATGAAAACATAGAGCAGTTGGATTTCTGTCTTCTGTGACTAAATTTGACTCTTTCAAGACCAGACTTCAGCTACTGATGTGACCGCTTCTATTAAGCATAAAAACTGAAGCTGCCTGAGTTTAATCCCACAACTAAGAAAGTTCTTTCCTTCTTTCATGTGAATTGAGAGGAAAGAGAGAAATTGCCATGGGCAAATAAAATGCCTTTGTATTGATCCAGGTAGCTTTAAAATCCAGATTGACTGGGATAGCATCATTTGTAGATTGGTTCATCCAGGTAGGCTAAGCAAATGGACAAAAGGCTTAAGGTTATCTGAGGAAGACTTGCGCTGTTTCTGGGTACAGTGCTTTGTTACTAATGCTTGTGACTTGACTTAATGTGTCACTGTCAGCTGGATCCGTTTCCTGTGGCCAGGAATTTTGCTGGAAGCCCTGGATTAGTAACAGATAACAATTATCGGATAAGGCAAAAAGTCTCACGTGTTTGGATGTGTTTTGTGTTGGCTCTTCAAGCACTTTTAAAACTGGCTACTAAAAATCTGGGCCCTGAAAGTCCCACTACCTTTAACTAAAATGTCAAGACATCTGCTTTTACACTTCCCCCTGCCTTGGAGATCAGGAATTCTTCCTGGCTGGACTCAATGCCTTAAACCATGTGACGCAGATGTATCTACATACAACAAAGTTGAGCGGTCTCTGATTTTCCACAGTTGGCGTGGCCGTTACCAAGGCCTGTGTCTGGAGAGAAAGATGACTTTCCAGAATCTCACTGCCGGATTGTTCATTTGATTAGCCAGCAAAGCCCCTGGTGTCCTCTGATTGTACACTGGATCGACTAGCCTTTACGTAAACCAGAACCTGCAAGTTCTGCCTGCCCTCTGCAATGTGGATCTGCCTCATTTCTATTCTTTAAAAGGGAGCTTTACAGATTCAAGTGTGTTTCATTCAGCTTCATTCAGGGTTATTAAAGTAAGTCAAATTGAAAAGGCCTCAGCCACCTTAAAAAAACCCTACTTTGTTTCTGTTAATTCTGCAGCTTGCCTGTCTCTGATC